ATCAGCATCCGCCAAAAATGAAATATTCTTTCAAAACTAATATGGAGACAATAATGAATAAAATACTCCAAGAGTTCTGATTAGAAATAATATATTACAGCCATATCCGACTATCACCAATTATTATACACACACACAGACCCAGGCATATACACATATTCACACCAATATGCTGTGAAAACATAGCAGGAGAGAGTGACAGCTGTCACAAACACTTAAAATCACAGAGACAGAGACACGACCTCGCAGCTTTGGATGTACGCACAAACACTTCCAACATACACACTCACACATACGTAAATCACTCAAAGCCATCTCCCCTATCCTCTAGTGCTTTGATTAGCTAAGCTAGAGCAGGATTTGTTAAAAAAGCATAAGTGAGAAACACAGGATATATCCCACAGACTTTTTTTTAACCCAGTCAGAATTAGCTGTTTTCAGCACTAATGGGGTAATTAGGATGTAAGTGCAACAGAAATAAGGTAATGGTGGTGTAGCTGACTTCAAAAGATTGAAAGACAATTTGCTTGATCGTATAATTTTTATGACGACAAAGAAACTAACAGCATGGGATTTGATTTCGTCAGAAACAGCACTGCTTTTCCTGTATTGATCAGATCAGTGAAATTTATGGGATTCTTTCATCTATGGACACTTCTCAGATAAATACAGTAATAAATGAAACAGTCGTACTTTGTAACTTTAGTGTGACACATGTCCTCCAGACTGTTGGCAAACTAAAAACACATGAGATAATATCAGATAGTTTAAACACAGAAGGCACAACTTGAATTGTTCCTTCTCACAGATGAAAACTCTTATTCTGTAGCTGCAACTAACATCAAGCATGCATAACAACCATTCACGATACAGATTCATGGGATAATGTTCTTGATCCAATGAGCTAAAACCTGTTGGGAAACCAGAGAGGAAGAAGGGATTATATAGGGATGAGTTGTAATCTGGTTTAACTGTTAAAATGATGATGTCCCTATCGACCTGAGTAACAGTTGTTCACTGAAATATCTCGTTAGAAACAGAGCAGCAGTGGGAAGACATTCCCGACTGCTTTTCTCTAAATTTAAACCAGGCCAGTGTTGTCATTATTGTTCATGTTGGACGATAAATACATTACAAGATGTCAGTTCCTGTTCAGTCGGTGTCAAAGTGGGTAACAGTGGCCCTCGCTTGGTTTAAAAGAGGTGTGATGTCCTCAGAAAACATTAACCTTTCAGATTAAGTCCAGAGTCACTCCAGTTCTTACACAGAGGTAACACAGTTTAGAACAGTCCAGACCAAATCCCAAAGCCAGCACAGTGCGGGTCCATTTTGCCACAGGGATTCTTTCTGGAGCTGCTTTCTGTCTCATGTCTGAAAACGGAGATGCTGTTGGGTTGAGGCAGGTCTCAGCTTTATGACTGAAATCATAAAAGGTATGATGAGCCGAGAGAGGGAACGGGCTGAAAGCCACCAAATAATACTTTTAGAATGATAAGAGCTCCCTCTAGAGGTGCCCTCGCGCTGCAGTGGACACACACATCAGTCTGCTCTCTTCCCTCTTTCGTTCACTTTGTTCCTTTGCATTCGATGCGATGATGCAGATTTCCCCTGTTCCAGAGATTTGAATAGTTGATGAATCCTGTAAACACAACACGGACTGGTGACTTCATTGAACTACATGCTGATATCACACACACCTTCCTCTCCCCGAGTCCAGTGACTTCAACTGTGATGATCTCACAGTCTCTTGCTTACCTCACAACTACGAAAACACACACACACACACACACACACACACACACAAACACACACAGCCTTCCTTTCTCCTGTACTCATCCATTTTCTCCAGCAGCTACTCTTGGCTTTAATGCAGTCTGAGAATGTGTCGTCAGTCAGACTCACTGTCTTCTCCAATCGTTAGACTTAAAGGAAGGGAAATGCCTTTGTGTTTACCATTGTTTTCCTTTTCAAAGTAAGGATGCTGGGGAGCACACTCACACACACTTAAATTATTTGCACTCTTATCAGCGGTAATGGACCCGTCAATTATATTGCAGGCTCAACCTATAAGTCCTCCGCAAACTTTTTCCTTCCCATAATGAACAACAGCTTCATATAAATTGTATCTGAGAGAATGTACATGACATGCTGAATGATAATGGCCGTCCTACCTTAATACCATATTACGATCTTCTTTTCTGAGGATAATATCATCTCAGATGATATTAATTAGCCGCTCTGAGTTGAGTCTTACTGACATCTCTTTTCTACCTTTGTACGTTTCTGTACTTTGCCCTTGTTCTTCCTTCATAATACTAAATTTAGCCTCCTTTGGAGGAAACTGAAGCTATCCACCCACAGTATGTGTTCACTCTACTGTAAATAGCTGCTTCCCTTTGCCCTCCCAGTGTCTGTCTCCTAACAGTGTCTGTCTCTTTCTCCCTCTCTCTGTTCTGCTGCCCTGCACCCATGCTCTTTCCTCCTTTCACTCTAGTCTTTCATATATAATGCATGTTAAACAAACAGTCATGTCAGAGTCACTCAAATGCATGGCTGTCCCCTCGCTGCTGCGCCATTGACCCTGAGAGTGGAGGTTCACGTCTACAGTCAGCTACAGCAAATAGACTGCACATTCTACAGGGGAGAGTATATTTGTTCAGAAAGGTGAAACCCGTTTCATCACATAAAACCAAACCAGATCTGAGAGAGGAGCTTTCATGCAGAATCACTGCAAATGTGGGCTAATCTCTAATTTTCAAGGAAATATAACAAAGGAGTTCCTTCTGAAGCTATTTGGAGAGTGGATGCCTATTCAAAGGAGAAACATCTCTTTTATCAAGGATTTTACCACCGCTTTCTTGTAAAGGAGTTCCATTTATGTGCTTGTTTGTTTCTTTGTAAACACATAAAATTCCATACCCATGTTTTGTGAAAGTGCGTGCAAAGAGATGTTTGATCCAAACAAATGTAGAACCAACTCCATTGTGTCCCTTGAGGTTCAGAGTGCTAAAGACAGTCAGTAATAGCGATTTCCCTTGTCTGTTACTTTACATGTAAATCTAATTTCTCAGTTAAGGCGTGGAGGGGATAAGCTGCTGCGCTGGCTCACTCTTGAATTGTATACATGCATAAATAAACTCACACACACACACACACACGCACACGTTCTCTCTTCTACAAAATCCCAATTTTCCAGGTGCAGAGGTCTGTGGAATAGAGCCAGAGCCACTCATCAGGAAACAGCATTATTCTCCATCAGCACTGTGGAGCGTCCAAGCTATTATACCATCCACCACTAGCATGCACATACAAATGGAGTTTACCACTTGACAGAGAGTGCGATGGGGCCTGAAAAGCATGAGGGTATGAGTGGTACCGCACTCGATCAGTGGCAGAGTGAGTTCATTTTCATCTGCCATACAGAGTATGCTCCACTTGTGCTGCAGTGATTTAATGCAAAATGACTAAATGCACATTCCACAGGCACATTATACAGCATTTGGAGTTGAAAGCTCACCAGAGTGTCAACACATGTATATTTTCTTAGATCAGTAGATCACTGCATTTTCAGCTTTGTGTAAGCTTTGTGTAAGTCACAATGTATCTTCTCACGATCAAGACTTCTCACGATCAAGTCTGAACATAATGCAAATGTATAGCATAATAAAGTCGTTAGAAGTACATAAAGGCAGATGAATGGTGCATTCCTCTCTTACAGCCTCACCTGGGTGGAAAGAATAAACAATAAGAATAAATGATAGTTCTCTCTACTCTTTCCACCCACTGTAGGCAGAGAGAACTGGATTTATTCAGACAGCTAATACACACAGTGACTCAGAGTGTATACAGTGTGTGGATGAAATGGGCTCGAGAGGCTTTTCCTCTCACACAAAGCAAATATCTGTCCAGGAATAAGATATTGATTTGTCATTTCCCAGAGCTGAAGCTGAGTAAACAAGCTAAGCAGACGTGTGACCGGTGGCGGCTGATAATTGTTGTCCGGTAACAGTCAGAGGCCTTGGGAGGAAATGATACACGAAACTCAGATGTGCTGTGTATCCTACATCATTCACATGACCGTACATGTAGCTGGAAACACACACACACACACACACACATCTTCTGTTTGGTGGTCATTCGGGGAATCTTTTCTGCTCAAACAAATCAATCAAATATTTATTCCCATGTTAACAGCATTCCACTTCCATGGCATGAACAACAACGCATTCCTCAGAGTCGACATGAATGTTTGATCTTTGTGTTTTGACTAAGAGGGTCCAGAAGAAGAGAGGCCGTTGAGTTTACGGTTTAAGAATTTAAATGTATAACAACAACACTGAGTGTTTGTCTCTTTTTGAGTTCATTCCAGTGAAACAGCATGACACATACCATCATGCTTTTCTCTTCTAGTCTCCTTTTATGTTTTTGCAAAGGACATACAGATAGATAGATGGACAGACAGGCAGATATATAGACGGATAGATGGATAGATAGCCGGACAGACAGGTGGGACCTACATATCTATATATTGACACTACAGTAGTTGCACTACTAGACTTCTTTGCAACACAATTCATTTCAATATAGTCTAAGGTATAATCTCTGTATATATTGTATAACGGGTTTTTTAACACCACCTATAATTTTGTCCATTTCATATTTTCATTTTTCATGTGTTTCATTCAAACAGTTATTATCCGTCTTCTTACCTCTCAGACTGTCTCTGTCTCTGCTGTGACATGTGAATCAATAAAGGGTTATCTTTATTACGACATTGTGTTATTTATCCTTAAATAAAATATCTCTGAGTGCCTTTCTCAGTAGCGAGTGCAGTGTGTGATCAATTCCACCAGATGTCTCTAAATCCTCACAGCCTCGGCAGATTATTGCAGTGAAGTCATCCATCCAGTGGAGGGAAGCACGGTGAAATGCTGACGGTAACATGAGCGCATAGTAACGCATTAGGCTGCAGAAAACAGACGAAGAAGGGAAAGCAGCGGGAGTAGTCAGGAACAAGTGATCCAAACCATGTAAACAAAGAAGCTGTTTCCCTTATGTCCGCAAACAACCTGCTTCTGTTCAATCGTGTTGTTTTCTCTATTCTCCAGCTGTTACAATATGGTAAGAGTCTTAATGTGAATAGATTTAGTTTGTAACATAAAGCCGCACTTGGTGAAAGAGAGTGAAGCGCATCTGGTGCAGATCAACAACAGATGCTGCGCGCACCAGGAAGTCCAGACACAGATATTCAGCGCGCGACTAATGACACATAAACGCTATTGAAATGCAGTATCAGAACGTAAATAACATTGTGTTAACATATCAAACACATTGTTCTGAAAGTGTTTTTTCTCAGAATATTGAGTTGTATAGTTGAGCTCTTATTGAACTGTTGTAGATTATTACATTAGTAGCGCACAGTCGGTCTATACATGAACTTAAATGAAAAATACTATATTTCTTTTTAGGCTTGACATTCTTCATGACCAAGGCTACTTACTTTCACAAACAATCAGTACTTGTTTAAGTAAACAGCATCACTAAGACATCTCACTTGCTGTAGCCCCCATTACAAAATGCAAGTCTTTCAAGGATTTAAACCCCATCAGCTGTATTTATAAATGGGTTATAATAACCTTGTTTCAGATGTAAATACGGTAGCCCAAGATTCCCTCACAGTGTGCTTAAACTCATCAGCAACAAGAGGAATAGACTATTGGGCAAAAAATGCTGTAAATGCAATTGAGACAACCCGTCACCATATCACTCACATCACTGATCAATATCTGTGAAGGTTTCATTGCTTAAAGAAGTACACCGTGACCTCATTGGGAGAACCTGAATGTGAAATATCTGACTTGAGGACAAAAGATAACTGTTTTGCTGAATTGCCACAATGGAATCAATAGTTGCTTTCACAGTTATTTCAGATTTGCACGTGCATTAAAATAATTCATCATCACTTTTTTTTTTCTTATTTAAGTGACATTCAGTCATGGCTGAGGAACCAGCAGCAGAAATCCAACTACTCAGAAGCCAGAAGGTCAAGCTGATTGAAATTCTAAGCGCAGATGCCGATTTTGTCCTGCAGCATGCAGACTCTCGCTGTTTGCTGTCTGCTCACGGCTACCAGCAGGTGAAAGCTTGCCGGGTTCCTAGTGAGAAGGTGACAGACCTGCTGGATCACATCATCCAGAGGGGTCCTGAAGCAGCGCGAGGTCTGCTGGAACTGCTGAACGACCAGGACCTGCAGGGGACCTTCCCAATGCTTCGCTTTATTAAGGATGTGCAAGTCAACACATTGTCTTCAGGTAGGACTACTGAACAGGTCTGTTCAGTAGTTTCACTAATCTTATTATATAATACTGGTAGTTTCCAATGTGAAATATAAAAGTGTTCTCTTTACAAGGAAAGGGCGAACCATCAAAAAAGAGAAAACCAGCTTCTGACTTACAAGAGACCATTCCATCCAAAAAGATCTGCAACAAAGGTGGGTCACACTACACTCAAAGCTATTCTCCTTAAAGCATTGCAGAGAACGTCACCTACTGTATCCGCCTCTGTCTCACTGCACAGGCCCGGGCTTAGTGAAGGAGAGGCAGCTGATGATGGTGGCTCGTACCATTGGCAGATCTTGGAGGGAGATCGGCAGACTGGCTCTGGACGTCCCCTCTGTGAAGCTGGAACAGATTGAAGAAGACAACTCGCTCCATGTGGAGCGAGTGTTCGCCATGCTGCGCTTCTGGAAAACCCGCCAGAGGGAAAAAGCAACTGCTGCTGACCTGCACTCGCTGCTCAGTCAGAGCGACTGGGCGCTGCCACCTGAAAGCATTGACTCGCTGTTGGAGACTGACTGAGGCCTTCACTCTCGGGTACTTGCTGAGACTGCAACCCTGTTTTAACTCACAATGAGTGTGTTTCTCTGGACTCATTCCATATCAGGAAAAACAACACTTGAAGACTTTCATACTTTATGGAATAAACCCGGAGTGCCATTTAGTGCCACTGAGGCCTTTTGTTCAAGGTTCTTCATACACAGAGTATGTATAGAAGTTTGTCATCCTGATTGTTCATGTAATTCTGCTACTATGCCGAATTATGGGACTGAGGACAGAGGGTGTCTGGCTGATTGTAAAGCCTTAACCTTAAGATATTAAGGTCAATGATCTTCTTTTATATAACAGCTTTCATTACAATAATATAAAAAGTTTTGTTTTATGAAACTTCTTTGAAAGAACTGTTTTTTAAATTCTCTGTTCATGGTGTCTATGTTAAAGATTATTCTCCTTCCAGTCAAGGAGACATTCGGAAAACACTATTAAGACGATACATCTTGGTGTGTCTTTTGAGATAGCGACTCTGTGCCTAGTTCCACTGCTGTATTGCTCCTCCCATTCTTTTCCCTCCAGGCAACATTATATTTATGGGACAAAGGTAAATACTATGGAAGCCCATTTCCAGCAGCAAAAAAATATATATTTTTTTATAAAGTTATTATTTTTTCAATTTTATTTACAACATCAACTAAAAAGAGAAATTATGAGATAAAAAGTCGGAATTATAATACACTTTAACACAGTCATAGAAGCAGCTCTTCAGGTCACCCAACATTTGACATAGAAATAGATTGTGAGTACATTCAAGACTACTTTAAACGTGGCTTTACAACACAAATACTTCAATTGTACTCAGCAAACGTATCCTTGAAAGGATTTTCAACAAGAAGCACCTCTGGCGTACAAAGAATAAAACCGACTTTCTATCTCATAATTACTCTCTTTTTTGTGTGTGTCTATGTGTAAATTAAAAAATAACTTTATTCATTATTTTTGGAGTGATTTTTTATTTGTTTGTTGCTGGCGGAAATGGGCTTCCATACTATTCCCTCCCCCTACCACGAAACTTGATAAGAAGCCATTTTCTGCTGTCTGCCTTCTCAGTACAGCCGCTAAAAGGGAAGAGATGGCAAACATGTTCCCGGTCTCATGTAAGTAGAGTGTGCTATACATGTCTGCTGTTGTTTATAACTCTTCTGGCAGTGTTTGTTCATGCGTTTAACTGTTCTGATAACAGTGGAAGGGCAGGAATCAGGCATTCTCCGTGACCTGGATGAGCCTCCAGTTGACCATACAGAGGGCCAACTCTTCTTGAACGATGCCTTTAAAATTATTATGGAGGAGGTGCTCTGCAAGGGCACGGACGTTAAGCAAAAGGTCTTGCGCTGCCTAAAATGACAATGGTGTCAGATTAGAGTGAGTACTCTGAGAAAAACTCATAAGCCATGTGTTCTTCTGGCAGGTTTGTGAATGGAAAGAGCCCGAGGAGCTGGCTCTGCTGCTGGACCTGGAGCTCAGGGAAACGGGGGAGCCTTCACACAGGCTCCTACAGAGGGTTAAAGATGTCGCCAAGTACAGCATCAAGACAAGTAAGACTGCTGAGACACTGATTGTCTATAGACTATAGATTGTCCATTGTTCTTTCATGATAACACTGCTCTGGTTTCTTTCAGGTCACCCACGTTTTCTTAATCAGCAGTTTGCAGGAGTGGACTATCATGCCCTGGCTGGCCGATTCCTCACTGAGGCTCTCAACACTAACCTGTAAGAATCAACCTAATGTATAACTAAAGCATGTAAGCCCATCATTTTTGGGTGGATGAAAAAGTCTGTTAAATATGATGCAATATATAAGATAATGTGACCGTATTAGTCTGTGGAGGAAGAAGTAAATGGAGCAATAACCTGGCACAGAACAGACTCAAAACCACAAGTTGAGAGCATGTTGATAATAAAAATAACAGGCAATGATCAAAACCAGGTATGCAAACAGAGACATGGTGCAGGCAAAGTATCAGAGTCTGGATTATTTTACTATTCTAACTCATTGTATCACAAAATGACTTGCAAAAGGTCCTAAGGACTTAAAAAATATAACTTAACTCTATGCTACTTTATCTGTACTTGTACTTCAGAAGACATTTACCTGAAATGTTACTGGTAAAGTTGCAGATTCAGATTTTACTCACAAAATATAACAACTCTAATAAGATGCATAATAAGTCATTAAACTATCCAGCATCATATTCAAATCGAAAGCTTGAACAGATGTTTAGTACATTTTGTGCTGATAATGCCTCTTTTTCACTTGAAGTTGCAGGATAACCATTGCTCCATTTGGGGTAATCTTAACTACTGTTGCTTAATTTATGTGAGCTTTCAGTCCAAAGTGCCTTTGTCAGGGCATACAAGATTCAACCGTAAATATTCACTTGAAGTAAACGTTTGAATGCAGGACTTTTACTGGACTCTATTAATAATTAATAGTTTTACTTCTGAAAAGTTTTGCGCAGCCTTCTTCTTCTACCACTGCCAATTCCTGCTTGGGTAAATAATGGAGCTAACAGCATAGCAAGATTTCAGAATCTAACTTCATCAGACACGTAGGCCTGTTATTTTATAATTCATTCCCATGCATGCTGCTGACAGCTCCTCTACCGATAGCACAGAGTCTCTCCCTAGCACAGATCCACTTGCAACAGCTGTTAAAGGAGGTTTAATTCAGTAACATAATGGATCCAAAGTCCACACAGTAAAAATGATGATGGGGCAAAGGTAAACATTATCATGATGTGTCCAAATGTAATTGTCACGGGGTGTGGTGGAGGACTCAAATGCAGGCCAGACAGAGTAGCTTGAAGCAGGTATTTAATGAAGAATTAAATCAACACAGGAAACTTACAGGACACAACACGGGATCCACGGACAAGACCGGAGACAAGGGGGAAAATCCAGCAGAATGAGGCAGGGCAGGCAGATGGGAAACCCGGGAACAAGACGAGCTAAACGGGCGGGTAGAACTGAACTCTAGAGGCTGGGGATCTGAACTTTAGAGGCTGGGGATCGAGAGGGGAACTGAACTGTAGAGGCTGGGGATCGAGAGGGGAACTGAACTGTAGAGGCTGGGGATCGAGAGGGGATCTGAACTCTAGTGGCTGGGGATCTGAACTTTAGAGGCTGTGGATCAAGAGGGGAATTGGGCTCCGACTCTCGGAGACGGGGCTCCGGGGGAACAGGATTCAGACTCTCTGAGACGGGGCTCCGGGGAACAGGATTCAGACTCTCGGTGACGGGAGGTCGCTGCTGCTCAGAGGCGGCAGCTGCAGGAACCGGAGGTCGCTGCAGCGTGCAGGCGGCAGCGGCAGGAAACGGAGGTCGCTGCATCGCGGAAGCGGCAGCAGCAGGAACCGGAGGTCGCTGCTGCTCGGAGGCGGCAGCGGCAGAAACTGGAGGTCGCTGCAACGCAGAGGTGGCAGCGGCAGGAACTGGAAGTCGATGCGACTTGGAGGCGGCAGCGGCTGGAACTGGAGCCCGCTGCCGGGAACGGGAGTCTGACCTTTCCTCTGCCTGGATAATGGAAGCAGAGCTGTGACAGTAATCTTGTAAAATTTAGTTTTGGGCGAGAAACCTCAATAAATACAGTTGTTTGAAGATGTTTTCACAGCAATGTAAAATAGATATTAGTGAGGGAATTATGACCTGTTTAACTTAACATTAACATTAAAACTAGTATTGCCCAACAAAAATGTTTTAAGCAAATATTTAAATAAAAGACAATAATTTACGTATTTTAGGTGTTGTTTTTTTTACAAATAACAACTATAGATGACTATAGGTGCCCAGCAATACACCCGCCATGTGTGGAGTAGATTGGATTAACGGTAATCGAGATATGGAAGATATATATAGGAAGAGGTACAATGTTTGAGTAAATGTACTAAATTACTTTCCGCTTCTGGTGTGGTAATGTTTGTGTGTATAAAATGTAGAATACAATGCAATAGTATGAAATACAACTTTTGTGTGTCAATGGCAGCTTCACCTATGAGGTGGCCCCAGTGTTTGTGCTGATGGAGACTGAGGTTCTGAGAGGACTGCGGCAGATGGTTGGCTGGACAGAAGGTGACGGTCTTTTCTGCCCAGGGGGTTCTACCTCTAATATGTACGCCATGAACCTCGCACGCTACCAACTTTTGCCAGAGGTCAAAAGTAAGGGGCTGTGTGGTCTCCCAAGACTAAACATCTTTACATCTTCAGAGGTAAGGATTGGCCATCAAACAGACAGAGATGTTTGTTGACACACACTGTAGTTTATAGGCATTTCTCATTTCCCACTTTGTACATCCTTGATTCATTTCCTTGCGAGGAAGAGATGCAAGGAGAGAGGAGTTAAGGCAACAGACATTTAACAAATTCCTTTTAAAGTGACATCAATCAATTATGACGTGAGTCACAGCTGCATCAAAGATGCTGTAGAACTGTCTCCGGCTGGATCAGCTGTTCATTGTTTTGCACAACACTTACTTTTGCTTTAATTCACAACGTGGTATAATGTGACGAAAATGTTCAGATATCACACAGACACACGTATATAGCCTACGCATATTTTATTGTGTGAAGCACAGCAAATGTTTGTATAAAAACTACTATAGGAAGAAAGAGTGACTTATGATTGAGTGATATATTATATATATAGATATATATATATATATATTATATGCACACAAACACAGTCCTGTCTATCTATATGATAACATGAAATACAGCAAATAAGGGCTAAAATCAAGAGAACGGTCTTATCGATACTAATTTGATGTCCGCAGCTGTTTGCACCTCTAAACATCATATCACGATTATAGCAGTTGAATTGGATGTATTCTACATTTAATATATAAATTCAAGTAATATCCAGGTGAAATGTTATCAAGGAATTTGTTTAGAAAAGCGTGTTATGAAGCACTACACACAAGCAGTGAGGGGCAGAAAGTTTGATCGTTCATTTGATCATCTTAAATAACTACAAATTATAAATACAAAAGGAACTGTTACATTTGTAGAGTTCTGGTTTGCGATCATTTCACGCCTCTTTTATTTGTAACGGGTGATTCGCTTCTCCGCGAATCGCCACCTTAACGTGGTGGAGGAGTTTGAGTGGCTCAGTGATCCTGGGAGCTATTTTGTCCGGGGCATTAGCCCTGGTAGGGTCTCCCAAGGTAAACAGGTCTCAGGGGAGAGCCCAGACTAAGAGCGGTTTAAAACGACCCTAATGATAAGCAGCCCACGGACTTCAGCCACCTCGCCCGGATCAGGGAAACCGGGGCACCCTCCCGGAGCCAGACCCAGGAGGGCAGCTCGTCGGCGAGCATCTGGTGGCCGGGCCTTCGCCCATGGGGCCCGGTCAGGCTCAGCCCGAAGAAACAGCATGGAGCAGCCACCCTGTGGACCCATCACCCGCAGGGACAAGCATCGGGGTCAGGTGCAATGCAGACCGGGCGGCGGGTCAGGCGGGAGGCCTGGGCGAGCCGATCGCCGGCAGCATAGACTAGCTCTAGGGACGTGGAAGGTCACCTCGCTAGCGGGGAAAGAGCCAGAGCTGGTGCAGGAGGTGGAGCGATACCAGCTAGATATAATTGGACTCACCTCCACACACAGCGCTGGCTCTGGAACCAAGCTCCTAGAGAGGGGTTGGACTTTGTCCTTTTCCGGAGTTGCCCAGGGTGAGAGGCGCCGGGCGGGAGTGGGGAGCAAGGCTCTGACTGTGGTTGGTGCTTATGCACCAAACAGCAGTTCGGAGTATCCGGCCTTCTTGGAGTAGGTGGGAGGGGTCCTGGAAAGGGCTCCGCCTACCGACTCCATAGTTCTCCTGGGGGACTTCAACGCTCACGTGGGCAATGACGGAGAAACCTGGCGGGGGGTGATTGGGAGGAACGGCTTGCCCGATCTGAACCCGAATGGTGTCTCGTTATTGGACTTCTGTGCTTGCCACGGTTTGGCCATAACGAACACCATGTTCGAACATAAGGTGGCTCATAAGTGTACCTGGTACCAGAACACCTTAGGCCGGAGATCAATGATCGACTTTGTAATCGTATCATTTGATTTGCGGCCGTATGTCTTGGACACTCGGGTGAAGAGGGGAGCAGAGCTGTCAACTGATCACCACCTGGTGGTGAGTTGGATCAGATGGCGGGGGAACCGGTTGGAAAGACCCGCAAGCCCAAATGTGTAGTGAGGGTGAACTGGGAACGTCTGGCGGAGGACCCTGTCCGGGAGGTCTTTAACTCCCACCTCCGGAAGAACTTCTCACACATTCCGAGGGAGGCTGGGGACATGGAATCTGAATGACCATGTTCAAAGCCTCTATTGTGGACGCGGCCGCTAGGAGCTGTGGCCGGAAGGTCATCGGTGCCTGTCGTGGCGGCAACCCGAGAACCCGGTGGTGGACACCGGAGGTGAGGGAAGCCGTCAAGCTGAAGAAGGAGACCTTCAAGGTCTGGTTGGCCCAGGGGTCTCCTGAAGCAGCTGACAGGTACCGGCAGGCCAGAAAGGCTGCAGCTGTGGTGGTCGCGAATGCTAAAACTCGGGCATGGGAGGAGTTCGGGGGGGGCCATGGAGAAGGACTTTCGGTTGGCCTCAAGGAGGTTTTGGCAAACCATCCGATGGCTCAGGAAGGGAAAGCAGGGCTTACCCCAGGCTGTTCTCAGCAGGGGGGGAACTGCTGACCCGGACGGGGGACATCGTCGGGCAGTGGAAAGAGCACTTTGAGGAACTCTTAAACCCGACCAACATGTCCTCTGCAGAGGACATGTCAGGCAGCGCCTGAGGACCTAGGGGGAGGCTCACCCATATCCTTGGCAGAGGCCGCTGAGGTAGTTAAAAAGCTCCTTGGTGGCAAGGCGCCGGGGGCGGATGAGATCCGCCTTGAGATGCTGAAAGTGCTGGACATAGTTGGGCTGTCCTGGCTGACACGCCTCTTCAATGTCGCATTGGGGTCGGGATCAGTGCCCATGGACTGGCAGACCGGGGTGGTGGTTCCCATCTTCAAAAAGGGGGACCGGAGAGTGTGCTCGAACTACCGGGGTATCACACTACTCAGCCTCCCGGGGAAGGCTTATGCCAGGGTGCTGGAAAGGAGGCTCCGACTGTTTGTAGAACCTCAGAGTCAAGAGGAGCAATGCGGATTCTGTCCCGGCCGTGGAACAGTGGACCAGCTCTTTACCCTCGCAAGACTACTGGAGGGGTTCTGGGAGTTTGCCCAACCAGTCTACATGTGCTTTGTGGACTTGGAGAAGGCTTTCGACCGGGTCCCTCGGGGGTTCTTGTGGGGGGTGCTGCGGGAGTATGGGGTGCCGGACCCATTAAAACGGGCGATCCCGTCTCTGTACGACTGCAGTAGGAGCTGTGTCCGCATTCTCGGCAATAAGTCAGACACGTTCCCGGTGGGTGTTGGCCTCCGCCAGGGCTGCCCTTTGTCACCAGTCCTGTTTGTGACTTTCAAGGACAGGATATCTAGGCGCAGCCTGGGGGCGGAGAACGTCAGGTTCGGGGGGGATCGCCTCTCTGCTGTTTGCAGATGATGTGGTCCTGTTAGCTTCCTCGGATCATGACCTCCAGCATTCACTGGGGCGGTTTGCAGCCGAGTGTGAAGCGGTGGGGATGAGAGTTAGCACCTCCAAATCTGAGGCCATGGTTCTCTGCCGGAAACCGGTGGATTGCTCCCTCCAGGTGGGGACAGAGTGCCTACCTCAAGCAAAGGAGTTACCAAGTACCCCAAGTATCTCGGGGTCTTGTTCACGAGTGAGGGTAACATGGAGCGGGAGATTGACAGGCGGATCGGTACGGCTGCAGCAGTAAAGCATGCTCTGCACCCGGCCGTTTTGGTGAAGAGGGAGCTGAGCCGGAAGGCAAAGCTCTCAATTTACCAGTCGGTCTACGTTCCTACCCTCACCTATGGTCACGAACTCTGGGTGACCGAAAGGACAAGGTCGCGGCTACAAGCCAAAATGAGTTTCCTCCATAGGGTGGCCGGGCTCAGCCTTAGAGATAGGGTAAGGAGCTCGGTCATCAGGAGGGAGCTTGGAGTCGAGCCGCTACTCCTTCGCATCGAAAGGAGTCAGCTGAGGTGGTTCGGGTATCTAACTAGGATGCCTCCTGGACGCCTCCCACTGGAGGTTTTCCAGGCACGTCCAACTGGGAAGAGACCCCCGGGGAAGACCCAGAACACACTGGAGAGATTACATCTCCCAGCTGGCCTGGGAACGCCTCGGGATCCCCCAGAATGAGCTGGAACATGTTGCCGGTGAGAGGGAAGTCTGGGTCAGCCTGCTTGGCCTGCTGCCACCGCGACCCGACCCCGGATAAGCGGAGGAAAATGGATGGATGGATGGATGGGTGCCAAAAAGGCTTCCGCAAAGGATACAGCGGTGTTTCCTCGCTCATAGCTCTTCCGGCAAGCTCCGAGGAGCTCCGAGGGAGGAGACGAGGAGGCAGGAAAAATTGTGAAATGAGAAATGCCCTACGTGTGGTTTTTTCAGAGCCATTACTCTGTGACGAAAGGGGCTGCCTTTCTGGGAATTGGGACAGACAATGTCATCATAGTGAAAGTGGATGAAAGGTAAAGTGTTTTTCATAATAACAGCAGAAACCATTGATAATAAATGAGCTCATTCATTTTCATAATCAATTGGGTGCATATAAGTGATTCAGAGCATAAATATAGCAACAAACAACTATTGGCTATGTATAGTATATGTAATGTATACAGTGGATGATGTTTACCTGGAGGTGTGAATCTTCACTGGTGATTTACATCACAATGTATCTTCGATATTTTCGATACTACTGTACATGGCTACTTTTTCAAAAGTTAAAACAAGCAGTCAGATAAATCGGAACTCCCTTTATATATAGAAAGTGCTTTCACAAATCAGATTAAAACAGTCTATGATATAAGAAGTGTGTGTGAACCACCTCAGCACATAAACATTACAAAAACAAAAATTCTTCTGCAGTGCATTCCAAGTGTTCTGTAATCTACAGAAATAAGGTTTTCACATAGAAGCTTTAAGACTGGGCATTGAATGCTTATGGCATTTTACACTGCAAGAATTAGCTTAGCGGTTAGCTGACTTTTCCTTACTCATAGCCCCTCTACTCCGACATGGTTTAAGTGCCTGCATCTCCTGGCAGAACAACACCACAGTTACATTTCAACCTGCATGCACATTTGTTCAGCCCATTATTATTAACAACAGAGCAGCTAATATTAATAGCAAGAGCAACCAGCTAGCGGACTGCCAAGTTCTGTTTGTCAGCCCCGCCCCCCGTTAAACACAGATCAAGGAGAGGAGTGATGAGAGACAAACAAGAGCAACAGACAGTAAGTGACAGCAAAACCCAGTTAAGAGACTCTGTGCTGAAATGAAACCAAACTCCTGATTATGTTCTGTCGCTGCATCTCAGAATCTACACATTTTACCACCTCTATCCTCTGTGTGTTATCCGTGATGCTCTTTGCTTTGTTGAAATATCTGGGCCGAATGCGTGTGCTTTTAGTGTATGGTTGTTCATGTGAGCGTGCCCCAATGACTAGATCACGGCTGCCGCTCTGCAGAAGCGTAGCACCCACCCTCTTGCTTGCATTGTAAGCACTGTTGGCACCGTAAACTGCGAGCCGCCGGCTCAGCCGTCACCATGTTGTGAGCCGTTAAGAGGCAATAGAAATGCTCCCAATCGATGATGATTATTCAAAAATCTATGCTTTATGATCATTGTTAGTTGCAGCCCTATCATTCAAAATGTTAACTTCTCTATGTTCTCTTGTGCGCTTCAGAGGCCGCATGATTCCAGATGACCTGGATGAAAAGATAAAGCTGGCACAATCTCAGGTAAATTCACTGGCCTTCAGTAACTACTAAGTTGTAACGCATGTTATGGTTTTACGGTCTCTTGTATTGGTTTTAACAATAATTATCCACAAAGTATAACTAAACATAAAACACTTTGTACATCTTGCAAACCGGAAAGCAGCAAGTGCAAGAAGGCTTTGTTCATTTTCGGTTTGTGTCTACCAGGGTGCAGTGCCATTCTTTGTAAGCTGCACGTCAGGGACCACAGTGCGAGGTGCGTTTGACCCACTGGACCGCATAGCTGATGTCTGCGAGAAACACAAGCTCTGGATGCACGTAGATGTGAGTCATCCTGTCGAAGACAAATGCCTGTTGACAAGCTTCTGTTGTATTTGTTCAAGTTTAAGAACATGCAGAGATTTGTCTGTTTTGTTGTGTTTTTCAGGCTGCCTGGGGAGGGAGCGTGCTCTTTTCCAAGCAACACAGACATCTGATGAAAGGGGTTCACAGGTATTAATATGCATGTCAGAAATTGCATGTTTCATTATGAGGAAGGCCACATTTTGTGCCGATATTGTCATAGAGAGATATAGACAACATGGCTTATGATGTGGGTGTTTTTATGTGTCTGTGAAAAGAGCAAATTCGGTAGCCTGGAATCCACACAAGATGCTGGGGGCTGGACTGCAGTGTTCTGCCTTGCTACTACAGGATACCATGGTTTGAGGCTACAGCATTATCTGATACACAAAATAAAGGTCTATGTTTTCACAAAATCTTTGACAATCAGTCATTTCTGCTTGTCCTCAGAACTTGTTGAAGAAGTGCCACAGTGCCAACGCCACATACCTCTTCCAGCAAGACAAGTTCTATGATGTGAATCTGGATGTCGGGGATAAGTCGGTGCAGTGCAGCCGCAAGGTTGACTGTCTGAAGTTATGGTTGATGTGGAAAGCTGTTGGCTCCATTGGCTTTACCGAGCGCGTGGACAAAGCTTTTAGCCATGCAAGGTAGGCATGCAGCTGTAGCACAACACGAGCCTGGCGAAGGTTGAGACAAGCGGCATTCCAAATGATCTAATCCATATGAGGCATAGGCTAATATGAAAGCACTGCAATTTATCTGTTTTCATGTTATAAGCTTTTCAGTGAGTTGGCTATTTACATCTTTGTTAATATAAACATTAAGGAAGAAGGATCATTTGGGTCCATGTTGCACAGCAGGTTAAGATACTTCTTTTGGCATCTAATCCCCCCATTTTCCTCATCTTTGCTAACCATTGAGTTATGATCCAAGCCAACAGGAAGTGAAAACATATCATAACATCTCTCCTGCAGATATCTGGTGGAGCAAATGAAGAAAAGAGAGGGGTTTCATCTTTTGCATGAGGTAAGTAAATATCTCAAGCATACTGACAAAGATAAGGTGTTCTCTCGTTGAAAAATGTTTATCACCTGTGTTTGTTTGTCTCCATGGACAGCCAGAGTTTGTGAATGTGTGCTTCTGGTTCATACCATCCAGTATGAGGGGGAAGGAAGGGAACGCAGATTACCAGGACAGACTGGCAAAAGTAAGTTTCTGTATCAGTGGACTGGGAAAGATTAAAGACAACACACACACACACACACACACACACACACACACACACACACACACA